AAAATTCAATTTTAATTCTTTAAATAGTGCGTTGCTATGGAAATAAGGCGAAAAAACATGCATAAAAATCTGAAAAATACTCTGTTTCCTTGGATACGTACCGTTGTATGTAGATTCCCAAAACTTAAATGATTGATATATGTGAACAACTAACCTGACTTTCAAATTTGACTATCACCCAATCTCTAACTGGATGCAAAAAGCTGGCACAAAGGGTCTAATATTAACAAAAAATTAACAAAATCGAACATTTTCTCTTCTTGGTAACCATAGCAACAGTGTTGTATTTTTCAACAACCTTTATCAATATATGATATTCAACTTTAGTTCTACGAGATAAGTACTATTCAAGGTGATTCAAATGATATTTTTCTTGATTAAAAGGTTGGTAAATTCCTAAAGCAGCAAAAAAATATCACTTTAAACAACTAGTATGTTGTTTCCATGGTTACACTGCAAAGTAACAATTAATCTCAATTTTTCTAATGTTGTCGGTGTTGCAAGGTCCTAAGGATGCATATGTGCCAGTCATGAATTTTATTGTTTTCCCTCACGATAGTAGCATTAACCCAATCATAGCAACAGATTTTGCATGGTAACACTGTGTTACCATGGCAACCATGAAAGTTATTTTTAGAATAATATTGCCAATACCTAATTACATGAGGTCAAATATTTTTCATTGTTTTTCTTACGTTGTTGATTGAGTTTGATCATGTAACATCTATCATTTGTGGCTATAGAGCGTTTTTCAGCATTTTTCAGCATCTAAAATGTATTCCAAATGTACCCATGGTTACCACTTACTTAGAGATAAATTCTAAATAGTTTATTTATAGCATAAGTGGCAACAAGGTGTCATGTTTTTGGGAGAATTGTTTGTTTGTTTTTCTTAGTCTTTATTAAGGCTTAATAAAGATTTAAAGTGGCTGAAAATCTCAATTTTTTCAACTTTTCTGGCTGTTACCATGGCAACCAAGACACATAGCAACGAAATTTTATTTGATATATGTTTCTGGTGTCAAGTTGTAATAATGGGCAAAGTTTCATCAAAATCGGTGACCATGCGTGGCAAAGAAGTTTAAGTGGTTACAGAGAATCGCTATTAATCTGTAATGTCTGAAAGGGGAACAGGTTCTGACAGAACGGTTGGTGCCTCTCGGATTCTCCTTAGGGACATTAACAATTTATTATATACACGGTCAGCAGATAATCAGTTTTGGTATAAAACAAACCAAACCTTTACGAAAATAAAAGATTTAAATGTTTCAATCAGAGATATTTTTGACTATTTTTTGGAACCCATGTGTTCCATTTCCAAAAGTTTTACTACAATGTGTAAAACTTGCGGTATTTTACTACTAGCAATTCTTTCAATAGCAATTTTACTGTACAAAGTATTTTTACTGAGACTGGGACAATTTGATTCAGTAAACTTCAAACATTGTCTATTCTAAAAATTCAATGTATACTCCATGCGGACTAATTTTATTAAGAAACAAAGGCTTCACTGAACAAGAGAAGAGCATAAGTTCGAAATAAATAAATATTAGGGTCCATCAACATCTTTAAAAACATTTCAATTTGCCTGACCATTCTATCTTTTCAATGAGGGTTAGAATTTTGCAAAAATATACAATCCGACTAATAGCCTCTATTCAAGTACTCAACAAGAAGAATACTGGTCAGGAAACTGTTTCTTTGTTTTAAGGATCATTATTACAACTGAATATTAGAAGAACTCGTTTATATTTCTACATTATGAAATCCAACTGATGCTCACATTACAGTTCACTTTCTAAAGATTAAATTCTTCCAATTCTTCAAATTCACATTTCAATCTTCAATATTCAAGTCACCAAAGCTCAAATCGATCTACACTGAACATATTTGAGACGTGGTGTAAATCAAATGTGGATTCTCAAAAACTTCAAATAAGATATTCCATTATCCACTTTCCTAATTTATGTAGTAATACTTCCACTATCACCTGCATGTGGTAATTACGTCTCTTAAAATATGTAAGCAATAAAATAACACTTTATAATATTCAATATTATTTTTATTAGAAAAAATAATTTTCTCCCAAAAAAGAATTAATGTGATTTTCTTCTTAATCCTTGCATGAATAATTTGGAAAATAAGTTATAAATAGACAAGGAATGTAAATTAATGAATAACAAGTGACAAATTGAAAGAAGAATGTTTTAAGGAAATGAAAATTCCAATTTATAAAATAATTGGAATAAAAAGTCCACTTGCAAGAGTTATCTTTCCTAAATCCCTCTGGCTCAAAACACTCAGGAACGGTTGAACATATCAGATTCAGAATAAGCTAAAAATTCTATAATAAATAAACATTTTTCAAAGAAATAAAAGACAGGCACACAAACCAACAAGAGTACAGTACTCTAAAAGCGTAAGTCAATTATAATATATTTCAACGAGATTATAGATTTCAACTCGAATTTCCTCAATACGTACATGTTGTCAGTGGTAGAACTTGCTGCTTTCCCTATGACATTTTACACTACTTGGGTAGCGAAGATTTGACTGTCATTCTCTTTGGTCTGTACTTAGGAATAACCCTTCTTCGTTTGTGATTTATAATAAAGCCGTCAACTTGTTCTCATTGTTTACAACATCGCATGTAGTCTATTTTTAGAGCCTTTTAAAGATTTAGATCATTAGCAAAGCGAACCTGTACAATTCGTCCCCAGGAAAAAACGGTCGAAACAATGGAGGTTTATTTTTCTGTGTAGTACGTCATCAAAAAGTGGTGTAATGAGTCTCCTTAAAATCAATTTTCTTTTATAATTATGAATATTTAATCTTTTTTTTTCTGAAGTGGCTGGAAAATCCCAAGAAAAGAGAATTAAAGTTTAGACGTCAACGCGAGACGTTTTCCCTCGGAATATGACGCGGATGAATGAAATATATCAATTTTGCTCTTCTATAAGGTTTCCATACAATGACTTTGGTATTCTGAACACTAAATTGCAGCCGGATTTGTAACGGAATGATATACATAAATACCAGCCGGTTTCAATATACTACTTTTTAGTTTCTTTTACTATGAGTTCAACAGCATGTCTATAACTTCATCTTATTTGCAAAGCTTTAGACACCGCAGTAAGGCGAGCATGTTTTGGAGAGAGAGATAATGGCCTAGCTTTCAGATTTTGCGTCAAAGCATCTGTTTAAAGGGACGATATAATTGGCAAGCAAAATAACTGACAAGCAAAAAATAATTAATATCTATAATAACTAGTTGCTATCATAAAACAATAAAACCAACACGTAAGTGATTGCCTCTAGTGTATGAAATATATGGAGATAACGAACAGTATTCAAGCTTAAAAGTCCACCAAACAATTCAAATTTTAGAGCATAGCAAACACGGACAACTAAAACATCAGAGGTGGGATCAGGTGCCATGGAGGAGTGAGCATTCCCTGCCGGCCGGTCACACCCGCCGTGTGCTCCTTGTCATGATCGGGAAATAAGGGAAAAATAAATCCGTCGACAATAAAGTGTGTAAATAATGGGCTTACAATTAGTATGAAAAACGTCAGTCATTACTTGACTTAATGATAAATTGTATTTGCTGACAAGGTCATTGTATCGACCATAGTACTTACAAAATGACGACTTTAATCGAGACTGCTGAAATTCTTGTTTCATCAACTTGTTTGTCAATAAATTGTTCATACGTAGGGCATGCTATTGCGTATCGAATCAACTAAGAGATGTAAACTCTGTATGCAGGTGATGAGGGTATATTGCTGCATAAGTAAGGGGAGTTGACGATTTAAAAGTTAAAGTCATCATGTTTATCATAAAACTTGGTTGTTAGATTACCATCAACGTCTTTTTCAAGTAAAATATCCAAATATGAAACAGAAAAAAAGGGAAAGCTCTGTCATTCAGTGACCTTTCCCAACCTTTCAGTGACCTTTCAATTGACTGAATGGTGCAGGTTCATCTTGTGTCCCCAAGGTGAAAATCGAAATTTCGTAACCTAAATTCACTTTTACAGGACACTCTCAGAATTATTCCAAAATATGAATGGGCTACTGTGAAAAATATAAGAGGAGTAAGAGGAGTTCAAAGAATCAGATTTTAGATTTTTTTAAAAAAAAAATGACCCCCATTTGGATCCTTGGTGAAAATCAAAGTCCTTAAAACGTATTGCATATCTACAGGACAACACCAATCACCATCCAAAAGATGATTTGGCTACTGCAAAAATATACAAATGGGCTACTTTGAAAAGTGTAATAGGGAACTCAATGAACCAGGTGTTTAGGAAAAACGAAGTTTTTTTTTAAACCAACAACACACCCGAAGATGAAAATCTAAATTCCTAAATCTTATGCACATCTTCAAGACACACTCAATCATATGCAAAAATATGAATGGACTACTGCTAAAAATGTAAGAGACAAGTAGAGAACCAGGTTTTTGTAGAAAAACACAGGGTTTTTAACCCACCATAATAAGCATATATTAAGTATTCTCAACAGTTTTAATAGTAATTCTTTTTTATTTTAAATTTGTTGCTATGACTAAGCTTCCCTCAATCATCATCTCCCTCTCTGTTTCCCAGTGGCACATCCATAACATGTTATAGATACACTTTCAGTCCATTTTTTGCATTCCCTCAGGTTAATTTACCTGCATTCCTTCAAGCAGCTAAACACGCATCCATGTATTTTGATGATCATTTAAAAATAACTCTTTAACATAGGCAACCAGTATTAACTGTTATGGTAGTGTAGGATAAAATCTTCCCTCCTGCTACATAGCCTAATTAAATTGTTTTCTCCAGCAACAAAATATAAATGTTGTTTCAAATACACTGTACATAAATTCCTACTGTATTAATATTTCACGCTCCATCTACCTTATACCCTATACCCTCATAACCATTGACGAAAAAATGCCATTTACCGACATACATGACGATACATTCCCGAGATTTACATACGTGCAATGTCCTTTACGATTGGGTTTTAATTCTTTTTTGATGTGAAATCTACATCAGGTATGATTGACATTTTTCAATTATATTTTAATTTAAAAATAGAAATCGTATTAAAATGAATTACAACATTCAGATCTCTGTTAGTATTAAGGGTTTTTTAGCAATATGGGTTTTCTTTTTCTTAACAAAGGTAATCAAAATAAGAAATAAAATCTTGCTTTCTTTCATCTTCAAATTTCAATTCATCATGTTTATCTAAGTAATACGAATCCCTTTCAGAATGAAGATTTTCCTTCTATCACAGAAGAATTTGAAGGCGATTGTAATTTGCGGCCTTATATTAAGTTTAGTAATTCTGTATTCAGAGCTAACCCCCGAAATGAACTTACACGGATTAGTGATCCAAACTGTGGACAGAGAATCACCACCTCTAAGGAAATATCGCACATACTGGGTTGATATGGAGCCTTACATTACCAACAATCTGAAGCTCTATAATAGCTCTAGATGCAGCGTCCCGAATTGCATCTTGGCGAATAATATTTCCAATGCAGATATTGTTGTGTTCAGCCACCGACACATTCCAAAAAGTACTTTAAATAAAAGAAAAGGTCAAATTTGGATTTTTTATTCCGCTGAAAGTCCATATCACACACATAGACCAAACAAAGAATGGATGGACCGTTTTGATTTGTCAATGTCTTATATGGACGATTCAGATATCCATGTGCCAATGTATGGAAAATTTCAAAAACGACAAAAAATTCTGAAGAGAAACTACAGTGGTATATTAATCAATAAAACAAAAGACGCAGTCTGGGTTTCAAGCCACTGTGTTACCCCTTCGAGGAGAGAAAACTTGGTAAAAGAACTTAGTAAATACTTAACAGTTGATACTTATGGCGGATGTGGTAATAAGAAATGTGGTCGTCAATATGATAGACTACCCAAGTGTCAATCCTTGTTTGAAACACATTACAAATTCTATTTTTCCTTCGAAAATTCAATCTGTAAACAGTATACAACGGAAAAATTACGTAATCTTTTCACCCACAGCGCTACACTAATTCCTGTCATAAATGGACCAAACGATGCATCTCGATATATCCCGAAAGGAACGTATATTAATAGTCAGGATTTCGCTAATGCTAGTTCACTAGCAAAAGAATTAAAAAGGATCGGTTCAAATGAAGCAGAGTATATTCGTTATTTGACGGAAAAAGACAAGTATACATGCCAAACAGTTGACAAAATAGTACCTAGTGCACAATGTACCTTATGTAAACATCTAGTGGATATAGGAAAGGGGAAAAAGACAAGAAAAAACAATTCATGGTTTAAAATTTTGGACCCGAAATTATTTTGTACAGTTCCAAAATACTAATTTTTTTTTCATAAAGTATTAAGAACATATACGCCATTCTTTTGTTCTGAGAATCCATTTAAGAACTAAGGAGTGAGAGAGGGAGAATAAGAGAGACAGGTTTGAGTTATACCCTTTGTATTGATATTCTAAATTCTTTTTACCTAATATTATATGCACGGATCTCTAAATTAACCATCTTTTCTTCGGTTATTTTCACTTTTAAAATCTGTATATCCTTACATTGATAAACACTTTTGCGCTGGCCAAACCAGAAAACCCTGCTTCTCACCTTCATATTAATTTTCCTAATTGATACTTTGAAACAAAATTCTAATACTCCAAAGAGGAAAGAATTCCCAATAAGCATGTGTAAAAGCAAAATAATTATTTTTTATAAAACTACAAAAATCTTGGATTGGAGAATTTCATATTTTGTTGAATATTTGGTACTTGGATATTCACCAAAATTCATATTTTGCATTAATGTGTCTTCCTGTTGCAGCATTCAACAGTACAAGAAAAAAAATAATTCTAACTTTACCCCCATGAAACTTGATTCGGTAGCTTGATTCTATTGATCTGTCTCTTTGTCATTCACTATTGAATTATTTTCTTGAAACTGTTTAATATAAGCTAAGTCAACTGCTCTAAGTAAATTTCTTGTTAAAAACAGTCGTGTTCCATTGAAGGTTCTCTTTCATCAAAGAATTTACGGAATAAGTCAAAACTTTGAACTTATACACAGTGATACACTTGCTTGGATGACAGTAAATAAAAGCAAGAACCCAAAGAAGCCATTATGTGTATTAAAATCCAATAATTACTCACATTACTTTGATCTAGCCCTATAAAGATAAGCATTTAGATATACACTTTGAAAAGTTATGTAAATGAACGATATTTTTAAAAAGTCATATTTGCAATCGAATGTCCAATAAAAAGCAATTCCCTCTCTGCAATGGAGTGTTCAATGATCACGGTCACTTTAACATAAAAATTCTTTTTGATACAAATAACCTCGAATCATTTTGACATTTTTTTCTCGTACATCTAAAACATGAAGGAAAATCTCAAAGCTCATAATCCTTCTGTTAACGCTCATGAAATTGTGCCTAGTGGTTTTCCATTTAAAATAATTTTAATTATCATTTAAACAATTATCTGAAAAGGGTGAATTCCAAAAAAATGACCAAATGCATATTTATCAACCCACACTAAAAATACAGGCAATGAAAATAGATTTCTATGTCTCAGCATATGTCTTTAGATAGTGTCTAAATACCTGCCAAATATCTCGTTGATATCTCAATTAACAAAAAAGTTATGCCCAAAAATGATGCTAAAATTGTCAGGAGTGCAACACTTTTTTGTGACATTTTGAAATTTCAATATTTTTTGGAGATCTGTGAAATAAAAAATAATGCTTCATGTTGAAAATAAAGACTTTCCTGATAATATTCAAAGTATTGAGCTTTAAATGTGGACTGTCATAACTTTTGTTTAATCAAGTTGTGGTCATGGCTGATGTTTAAAAAAATGTTATACCATGTCAGGAGTGCAACAGAAAAAATGTAGTGTTGCCAAAAAAACATCAATTGTAAAATTCTGATAGAAAATTAAGACAAAAAAGAATTTTCGAAGTGTAAAAAAATAACTGATATACATTTTAAAACTTAAAAATGTTATATAAATCACAAGCAGCATTAATGAGAGTCAAGTATATGTGCATACTCAAAAATGTCAGGAGTGCAACATTTGATGTTTTGCTCCCAAGCATGAAAAAACTATTATCATTATATGATTTTCTGATTTTTATTTTGGAAAATAAAGACACAAAGAACATTTTTACCAAATAGATTTATCAATTACAGGATCTGTCTGTGCTTCAGATCCATATTTCTATGGTCAGGAGTGCAACACATTTTTTTAAACATTCAAGTTGTGTGACGAAAAGATTTCTATTCATGCTTAGAAGTATTCATTAATTAATAATGATCTTTTTGTATAATTTAATGCTAAATCATTGACAGTTTTATTATTAAAATCCTTCCTTTTACAATTTTATCAATTCAGATGTGTTTTTATCTTTTTTGTGATTTTTTTAATGAATGTTAAAAATAAACACACTTAAACATTGTAATAAAATTCAAGTAATTCCTCCTCAACTTCACTGAAAAAACAGAACAAGTTCTTGTGTAATTTTCGCTTCACAATTCTACTTTAAAGGCCCCAATGCTTTTGGTCAGGAGTGCAACAAATATGTTAGAATTATAAATCATCCAATAAGAATAAAAATAAAGAAAAAATGATGGGTAGAATTTTTCTGGTGGGTTACTGTGTTTGTCTTCTAAGGGAAAATATGCTTTAAAATATATTTTATCCTCTAAATATACACTTAAGCTAGTTTTTTGGCATAAAATGGGGTATAATTCCAGATAAAATGCGAATTTTAAATACTTTCATCTGTTTTAATTATGAAGTATTGAACTATAAACATTGCACAGTTTCATTACCACTTGATGTTTCCAACACTTTATGAATTTTCGTGTTCTCTGGTTTTAATTTTAAACTTTACTACAGTCAGGAGTGCAACAAAACTGCTTCATAATTACCAATGCTTTTTAACTATCTTACTAAAACATAAGTTGAAAAAAAATGCTTGATACTATTTGATGTTCAAAACACTATGTCTATCAACAAATTACAGAAATATTACAGTCAATTTGGGGAATAGTTTTCATCATTTCACATATATTTTAAATACAATTTATGTATATTACACTTTGCAAATAATCATGTTTTAAGGTCTTCAAAATATGAAAAACCTGCTGTAATCGATGAAAAATATCAACACAACAAATTGATTTACAAAGTAAGAATGGGTTATTGTGTGTTATAATTTTTAAAACAATGTTAAATAAAATACATATCAGATGTCAGGAGTGCAACACAATAATGTAACATAGGGTCACTTCAAAATCTAGTATTTTTTGTAAGAGACTCGTATATAACAATTCTTTCTTGGCTTAGATTTAAAGAACTGACTTGAACGGACAAAAAAGTGAATTTTGGGGAATTTTATTGCTTCATATTTTTTTCATATTAAAACTTTTCAAACCAGAATTGAAAAAATAATGTAAAATAACAATCAAAAAGCCAATTTTTTGCCACATGTACAAGAGAAGATACTCATTCAAGGTCTAGATTTAATCATTTATACCCCTTTTACCATTTTGAAGCATAAAAAACTATAATTTCTTGTGACTATATATTTTAGAAAGTCTTTTAAGGTGTAATGATATTTTCTTTTTTCAAAAGAAATTTTACTAATAAAAATTCTGAAACTTTTTAATCCAATTCTCTATTCTATTGCCACTTCAGGATTTTGAACTAGAATGCATTTGCAATATGATGATATCAGTGAAAAATATGTTATAAGTAGTTGAATTTTGCCAAAAAAAATCAGTTTGGTGGTCATTTTTTTTTAATTCACCCAAAAGACCTTTTAATAATATACTTTCAACGTTAAAAGTACTGTTCTTTTTGTTTTGGTCTGGTGATTATAACTATAAACTATAAACTGTAGTGAAACACCAGCTTAATTTACGTAATTAACATACCCACTTCTATTAAGATTTCATCAATGCATTAGCTCATTATTAAAAATGTATAAAAAGGCAGATGTTCTACTAATCCCCTATTTTTACCCCTCACAAAAATATCAATTGTTGCAAAGGAAAATTCTTCGACGTACACTGTTCAGTACTACAACATATTCTAAAAGTGTTGTGAATATGATTTGGATTTCAAACAACTCCAAACATTTGCTTTTAGTAAAATCAAAATCACCAAAATTTTCAAAAGTCAGTAACATTAAAACGTACTACTTTTCTACACCTTTACATCTATTTATTGCGATAAATTAAGAACTAGGCTTTTGATATTATAAAGAACTGTTTCTTCAATGATTGGTTATCAACAAAATTACTTTGTTAAAAGTCACTTTGGTTTCAGACACAAGTACTCAGAAGTTGATATTTTAAAGTTGATATTTTAATAGGATGCTGGAGTTCCTCATCGACAAGATCGGAGACCAGGTCTTCAAACAAAACTTTGGAATTCCGATGGGCACTAATTGTCCTCCTTTATTAGCTGATCGGTTTTTATATTCTTATGAAGCAGATTATTTTCGAAAACATCTACATGAGAAGAAGAAAACACTTGCTGTGGCCCAGACATTCAGATATATTGACGGTTGATCTTATAGCAATAGTTACTTCCATTCATGTGTCAAAGCGATATATTTTAGTGAACTCAAAATAAAGGGTATCCAATGTGTCTGCACATCTGTTTCGTATTTGAATGTGTTACTGACTACATATGATAAGGGCCAGCTAACAACTAAATTGTATAACTTCATCCTTTCCATCGTCAACTTTATTTATGTTGTAATATTCCTTTATCATTTGCATGAAATGTATGGAGATAACGAACAGTATTCAAGCTCAGAAGTCCATTAAACAATACAAAATACGTGCAATGCAAACACGGACCTCCAAAACATCAGAAGTGGGATCAGGTGTCATGGAGGAGTGAGCATCCCCTGCCGACTGGTCACACCCGCCGTGTGCTCCTTGTCATGATCGGGAAATAACGGAAAATCCATCGACAATTCAGTGTGTAAATAATGGCCTAACAATTAGTATGAAAAACGTCAGTCAGCATTTGATTATTTGACATAAGAATGGAAATAACCATTGTTAATTGACAATACGTCGTCGATATATCTAAATGTCGAGTTGAACGCCACAGCAAGTATTTTCTTCTTTTCACGTATAAAATTTTGGACAAAATCTGCTTCATATGAAAACAAAAAAGTCTACTAATAACGGGGCATTGGTACCCATGGGAATTCCAATAGATTGTTGGAAGACCTGGTCTCCAAAAACCTCATAGATATTGTCAATCAGAAACTGAAGCATCTTTTTTAATGTCAACTTCAGAGTACTTGTGTGTACAATCAGAATGTTTTTTAACAAAATAAT